CCCCAAAACCCCAAAACCCCAAAACCCCAAAACCCCAAAACCCCAAAAGCCAGATTCTAACTTGACTTCTAATAATATTAATTTAAAAATATGGGTTGTTCAGGCTCTACGATGAAGACCAATGAGAGCGTCAAGAAATTACTAGAGAAGTCAAAGAAGGAGATCGATGAGTGCAATATTAGAATAGATGACTATCAAAGACAAATTGATGAGTACGAGAGAGATATCGATGATCTTAAATACAAACCTTATAAAGGAAGCAGGGATTCAGGCCACAAATATGCTGACTCTAATGAGAGGTAATACTGATAAGAATGTTATCTTGAGGCTCGATATAGAAGCTTATATTTCTTAAATACTCAAAAGAGTCTACTCGAAATTATGGGGTAAAAAGAAAGCATGCCTCCTTGGTGAATTAGCTTTCTTTCACTCTAATTTTCAGACAAATTTAAATACCAGAATCTCTTTTTTTGCCATTTCTTTTAATCTGATCAGTTTGAATCAAGAAAGGCTAAACTGAACAATTTTCTTTAACAGTACTAGTTCTAAATATCTGATAATATTTTCTCACTTGAAACTAATGATCAATATATTCATTGGTGAAGAGATCATATTCGTTCTAGAAATAATATTTCTCATAGGTACAACGACAGAAGATTCCAAAGCTACTCTGGGAGCGGAATGGACCTTTCTAGCGATGGTGAGGATCCTAAGCCTCCTGCTGAAATCAATAATGATGACTATGTCAAAGTAAAAATAGAAGGTCTTGAAACGGAAATTCAGAAACTAAAGCAAATGCAAGTACAAGAACAAAAGAATATTAATGAGATTCAAAGCAAAATCAACAATATTCAAAGAGAGCACAACATTAGACAGGTAACTAAAGTGAAACAGGAGCTAAACAGACAGGAGAAATACATGACACCAACTAAGGGATAGTGATCGTTCAATTCTAAATAGCCATTTTTAAATAATTTCAATTAGAAGAACTGTTCGCGGGGTTTTGGGGTTTTGGGGTTTTGGGGTTTTGGGG